GTTTCAATCTGCCCTTGTTTTTTCTTTTTGTTTTTATTTTTATTTTTATTTTTGCATGTTATCACTGTGCCCGTTTTTTGCTTTTATTCTTTGTTCCGCAAAGTGCGCTCTTTTAGTTTGTAGTGATGTGACAATATATGTATATATCGTCACAAACAGAACATATATATGTGTGACGATATATATATATATATATATATGAGTCGGTGAAACTCCGACGAAACAGTTTGTCACAGCCCCTCGTTTGTTGTCCTCTTCTCCCTCTCTGCCTACGGTTTACCGGGCAGTTCTATTTGACGATATATATAGCTTTGGGAAGGTATTCGGCAATCAGCAACAGTCAGACCCACTTTTGAGCTAGCAACTAGTGGTAGGGGTAGGTCTAAGTGGTGAGGAGGTGGAGGGTATTTACCTGTGGCTTTGACCACCATGGATGACTATCCCATGTTCGCATTTCTGTCCTTGTCTGTGCTATGGGGACCTCTTCTTCGCTTTATATCGCCACCTGGCAGAAAAGAAGAAAGAGTAGGAGGAAAAGAAAAGGGAGGAGGAGGAGGAAGTGAAGAAGAAGTTATTAGAAGAAAAAGAGAAGATGGAGAAGGAGAAGAAGTTAATGGAGAAACTGAAAGAAGAAGAAGAAGAAGAAGAAGAAGAAGATGTGGGAGAAAAGCTGGAAAGAAGGAGAACCCAGCTGCAAGAAGAAAGGGCCAAGAGCAACCAAGCAGGGGCAATTCGTATGCGAGAGCTGGAGGCGATGAACTGGATGGACCAGTTCGGTTACCGGACGGAGTTCCAGAAGAAACGAGGAGGAGAAAAATGCATGTATAATAAAGTTGGCCTCAGTGCGAGGCCACTCCCTCTATGAGCCCCATAAGCCCCCATTTTGCAGCTCGTCGGCCGCCCTAAGTGAAGGCAGGCTCGACGAGCCCCTCAGGGCCCTATTCTGGCCACCACGCAACTCAGGGAAATTCAGGCAGTTGCGCAACGCCAGTTGGTTGAGTGAACCCAGGCCCTAGGCTGGATACAGGTACGGGGCCAAACACAGGCCAAAGGCAGTTGGGCACATGCAACCACCTCAGGCCCAAGGCCTGTTCTCGTAGTGCTGGGCCTCAGGCTACCGGGGCCTACTGGAAGCTTCCTGGGACTGGACGCAGGCAGGCCACTT